ATGTATATACTACGAGTAGGATCATGGGGATTAATTTAGAACCAAGCATGCCTCCGTGTGATTCCCCCTCTTTAAACTTCTCTCTTCCTCTATTTCTCTCTCTCTCTCTCTCTCTCTCTCTCTCTCTCCCTTTCTTCCTCTTATTTTTTGTTGTATATTTTAACTGGAGGTAATTTCTAGGGGTGCACACAAGGTCCCAATGCCAATAGCAGACCATGTCCCCAAAAATATCCCTCTTGAAGCCTACATACACCATTTCCCCACCTTGTTGGAATCATATATGGTCCATAGATACCCCAGGGCATTTAGATTCAAAATGATGTGGCTAGAAGGTTTTGAGCTACATTAGCTAATCCCATAGTGTTAGTGGTCTTTAAAAATCAGAGTTGTGGGGTGAAAAGTGAATAAAATGCAGAAACTCTTAAAGGAAAACTAAAAAAATGGAGTCAACTAAAATATAGCAGCTTGATGGAAAGAAAGAAGAGTTTCTACAAGAGATTTCTAACCATTACTCTGTTGAGAATCAAGAGACATCCCCACTGGAAAGGGCTAGAGAATTCAAGAAATAGTGGAGTATAAATAAAAAAGATGTAGAATTAAATGGTTAAAAGAGGGTGACAGGAATACTACCTCTTCCATAAAATTGAAAGCCATAGAATGAGAGATAACGCCCTTAGCCAGATTAGAATAGGAGAGAGGTATCTTGAGGACCTTGCTGCACATCAGCAAGGCTTTCATGAGTTTCTTTGAAATACTTCCAGCCTAGACCGAGGATGTCTTCAATTCATTACATGGTGATTGATCAAAAGACCCTCCTCGTAACTAGAAATCTAAAAGGCAATTCAGGAATTGGGCCAAGACAAGGCCCTAGGCTTGATGGCTTCCTGGTGACTTCCTGGTGGCCTTTTTTAATAAATCCGGGTATTAATTGGCTCTTGATATCCTCACAGCTTTAATTGAGTTCCACCGCAGATGTATTGTAATGGTCCCAAAGGAGGAGGGAGCTGAGGAGTTCAAGATTTCAGGCATAAAAGTCTCCAAAATAGCTCCTACAAGATTTGTCATAAGTACTCAACTCTTGGCTGAGGGAGGTGCATAGTTTGGTGATATCCCGCTCCCAAAGTGTGTCGTAGATCACCAAAGCTAAGATGGCATCATAGTAGTGCATGATTCTACTCATGGAAGGCATCAATAAAAAATTCATGGTCTGATCTTTAAACTAGATTGGGTAAAAAACACATAACCATGTCAAGTGAGGTGTCCCGATGAGGTTCTCCAGTTAATGGGGTTTGGAAGCAAATGGAGGCTTCGGATAAGGGGCTATATTTCCTCCTCATCCTTTTTTGTTCCGGTCAATGGATCCCCACAAAGTTTTTCTAGGCCTCTAAAAGCCTTTTCCAAAGAGACTCCCTTCCTCATTTATATTTTTCACAAAGCAATCCTGAACCTATTTGACCAAAAACCTCCTTACAGGCTTCCAGCATCTGGTTGAGGCCCTTGGATCACTCATTTGCAATGTGCACCAATTATAGATCAATGGCTTATTGCTCTTCATAAGATGATTTAAGTCTCAACTGAACTTGAGATATTTTCATCTGGAGTTTGAACTAACAAACTGGGGAGTGGCACTAGGCTGCGATCGCAAAAGTACTTGGGCTTCCCATTCTGGATAGGAAAGCTGAGAAAGTAACTATGGGACTCTGTAGTAGAACACTTTGGTCAACATAAACCTGTCAAAGATCCTATTTTCCTGATGTCCCTCTTTAAGATGATAGTGGCCATCACAAATCAGCTATTGCCTAATGAAGAGCTTTCTATGGTCGCGAGTGAGTGGAAGTTGGCAAATGTATGTATATAAAAAAGGATTGGCAGGTTGGATATTAAAAGCAATGGAGATTCCAACACCACACTAATAGGCAAATGGTGGTGGCAGTTTGCAAACCAAGAATGACATACTGGCAGCAGGTTATTCTATGCAAATATGGCATTGATGACTCTGGTTCACGTCGAAAAGGCTAGCCAACCACTGTGTCTCAGGTGCTTGGAAAGGAATCTTCCTGAACTGCCCTAGTTACAATAGAAATACTGGTAAAATCTGGGGACAGAATCATATTGTGGGAGGATATATGGGTGGGTGAATCATCTTCAGAGTCACAATTCTCAAGCTCATTCTCCTCTGAGAGGGGCCAATAGGTAATCAATGCTCAATACTTTGAAGTGTTAGGGAGCCAAATGGTCTGGTTCCTGAGCTTTAGAAGGAACCTTTTGGACCACAAAATTCAGACCTTCACGACTTTGCTACTATTCCTAAATTCTAACTTTATCCCTAGGTTTGGCAGTGATAAAATGCTCCAGGTCCTTGCCTCCTCTGGTCTATTCACAGTTGCGTCATTCTAACAGGCTAAGGCATCATTCAAACAAGTCCAACCCAGAATTCAGGCCCCCATGGTTGACCAGCTACAAAGGAAAGGTATCCAATGTGAGTTTGATAACTTTTCAACAAGAAGAGAGCTTGAGAAATGTGGTTTTAATATTGGAAATCTTTGTGATACTCTTAAAATAAATTTTCATCTTTAATTATAAAATTTAAAGCTTCAAAAATAGTGTATATCGAGCATATCTAAGAAAACTTGAAAATCTTGAAAATTGACGGTTCAAAAATGTGGGTACAAGAATGCACTATCTCCAAAACTTGAAATCTATTTTTTTCTCATGTCCATGCTTCTTGATGTCGAGATGATCAATTGGAGGATATTTGGGCATCAAAACAACCTCTTCTAGTGAAATATTTGAGGTAGGCTCTAATTTGATTGTTTAGAGCCTCGGCTCTATATAAACTTTTTCCAATAATTAATACCTCTTATACATGTGATATACATCCTAACACAGTCTAACATAGAACTCCCTATCATAGTACCATGTCAAAAGAGGCTGACAAAAATGTTGGCCACCTATTTGTACATTGCACTACAGTGGATTTTTTTTTTACCTATAATCTCCAGCTCTTTGGATGGGAGTCGGTCTCTTCATGTACATTGACCCAACGCTTCAATGAGTATACTCACCCCACTTCAAACCTCATCAGTGGCTATGATTTGGGCCATTTGGATAGAGCATAATCATAAGCTGTTCAAAGGGAGAGAGTCCACTTTAGTGAGAATTCTGGACCATGTTATAGCCTCAGTTATTTCATGGGCCTCCGTAAGTAGTTTCGGTCCTTCTTGGCGCTTGATTTTATGAGCTCTTGGAAGGCTATTGTTCAGTCCAGATCCATGATCATTCCAAGGTCAAATCTTTGGAACCTGCTTTCTATCGGGTTTATCAAACTAAATTTGGAGGGTAGTTCTTTTGGCAACCCAGGCCTGGAGGGCATTATAGGACCATTGGGGACATCTTAGCAATTCTTCTATTGTCTTACTCGAGCACCATTGGTTTTGCCAACTCCATGTTGGCTGAAGCACATGCCATTCTATAAGGCCTGAAACTGTTTGACCTAGTTGGGGCCAATCACTCTTGATGGAAAGAGAGTTACAAAATGCTATTCATTGGGAAAGTTGTACTTATGCTCCAACTAGAAGGTTGAACCAACTTTGATCAAATTTTTTCGATCACTAGGTCTTTCTGATGGAGGGGGGGAAGAAGCTTTGATACCTGATGATGTAGTCCAGAATCACACTGGTATCAAATGATGAATGGGGAAAAGGGGGCCTCATACCACATTGACAGTGGAAGAAAACAAAGAGATACAAGGCAAAGATCTAAAGTATTGATTGAAAAGTTAAGTTGACAAGCCAACATTAAATGGCTACAAGTGGTTTAACCAGAATCTCAAGAAACATGAAAAAGTCATAAGATCCTCTAATTGAGACTTCACGAGTCCTTTTATCAAGCACACTTGTAAATAATAAAACAAATAAGTGTTCAAAGATAGCCTTTCCCTATTCCAATTCATGCACCCCTTCTTTAGATCCTGTAATCAAGGAAATATCTCCCTCTTCCTCTTTCCCGCAAGCATTTCCCTATGAACCCACTAACCTAGGACTCTGCTTCAAATTTTCCTACTTCCTCTCTTTAAATCTAAACTTTAGGCCTCCCAAGTGATCACCATGTAATTCAGGAAAACTAACTAAAGAAATAAAGAAGACCCAATGACAATCACAACCCTCTTTTCTAATATTTTTGGAACACTCCAACCATGACAACTAACTAAAAATAAAATAGCTCATGCTAACCCTAATGAAAGGGGAATTTTTCTAAATTACAATCCCTGCCTTTAACATCGAATCAAACCCGATTTACTCCCCCTTAAGCTCTTAGTCCTAAATTAATGCCCCTGAAATTTAAATTTTGAAAAAAAGTAGAAAGAAGACTTGAGTTCAGCCACAAAACTGGAACCTAAAAACTAACAATAATTCCATAGAGAAGAACTAAAAAGATGAACCCCTAAAAATTCCTCAATAGTCAATACATCCATTGATCCCATCAACTAAAACCCATTGAAAAATCTGAACCTGTTCAAGTGAGGTTGCGTCACATTCCAAGTGACATATAAACATGTTTGGAGGGACGGGAATCAAAGAGGACGCTGATGCCTTGGCCTATGCTGGGACTTTGGCGATAGCTTTGTCACAAACCTAACAAAAGGTTGATTTTGAATTTGCTGTCTCTCATTCTTTCTTTGTATAGGCCATAGTGTTTGGTCATATTTATACAGCAGATATATTTTAATCTGCAATCTTCTACTAATCTTCATATATGCATATATTCATAAAATTTATTAAAAAATCTTTCCTAGTGTGCGCCTTGCAATAAGGGCTGCATTGGTCGGAGTTCCACCTCTGTATGTAACTCGGCACTAACAAAAAAACACCCCAGAAACAGGACCCAATCAATTTTAACGTATCACTACTATAGGACCTCCATTGGAACCAACCTTGAAGTTATAGACAGAAATATATCTTAATAAAATGAGAATAGAAATGGAATACAGCAGAAACAACCTTTTCGGCACCAGTTTCCTTTCTTTAGCTCTTTCTTGTTGTGTAGCAGATGAAGTGGGACCTTGAGGGAAGATGCTGAAAGATACAACAGACACCAAAAAAGAACAAAATAAGATGCACAGATTTTTCAATATAAAGTTTTTCTGAATGTGGTTAATCAATGAATAGTTGTAAAATATAGCTTGTATTAGTCATGCAATCCAAACCTGTCAATCTAAATCAACTATATTTTTCAGCAAGTATCATATAAAGCAAATAAACACCTATGATAATGGAAAAATCATTGATAGAAAAGCCCGGTCTATGATATTGCAAGGTGTTCCTTAGGCCATTTTACCACTGAATGCCATATAAAGAATATAGACAAGGAAGTCCTTCACATGTAGAGAATAAATATGTTATGATCCATTTCCCTTGCTAAAGGATTTTTGTCAAAGACGCATAATACTTCTGTCATTATCACAAAGCAGTCTACAAATATTGTATCAGATTATACATGTATCAGATTGCACAAGGTGTCCGGTCAAATGATTTCCATCAAATATTGGTGATCCTTACCCATAATCTGAAACTCTACAATGACTGAATCGTGGTATACACATCATTACATAGGACAAATCTGTTCAAGCACGAGTCCACCAGTTCTTTCTTTCTTCACATAGCACCTACCATCAACGGTCTCAGTTGGGATCACCTCAAGATCAGAGAAGTAGAACACTCCATTCTGAATACCCTTGGCTCCAAATAAGAAGTCCATCGATTTACCCGAACCCCAACAGCTGCTAGTAGCAGCAGAGCATTCTTCCCACTCGAATTTGAACTCAGTAACAAGGGAGGAAACTCCTCCTTATCATTCCTCCTTACACGCTCATCCACAACTTTAGAACCAGAAGCAGATCCAAGAACAAATTTATTGCCATCATATACACCATTACTGTCTTTACATTTTCAAAAAACACTAATAAGCATATTTTGGGGAAAACTTTCTTTGCTCCCACCCTCACCTTCTCTCTTGGCAAGTCATGCCCAATGATCTCATAGCCCTTCGTAACCCCAGCCAGCACACTCTCTCTCTCTCTCTCTCTCNCTCTCTCTCTC